TAGCGATGCGCGCACTCCACGCTGCAAAAGCGATCCGCCGGGGGGGGGGCGCGTTGCACGCGGGATTCGTCGCCCCGTCGGTTGGGGCCTCCCTTTGGGGGTTTAAAAGGGGATCGGCCCCACGGAGGCGTCGAAGCTGCCGATGCAGCCGCCGCGCGAGGCGGAAGGACTCCTCGGTGTAGAAATCCTCCACGTCGTCGACGCCTTCCCCCTCTTCTTCCCCTTCGGTTTCGCTTTCGTCGTCGGTTGCATCCTCGCGGAGGAAAGGCAAAGGGGCCTTTTCGATGCCGATCCCCTCGCCGTTGTGGAGTCGACGCGGCGGCGCCGCGCAGCCGATTCGCCCGCAGAGCTGCTCCTCATTTCGCAGCCCCACTACCCCGGCGAGGGAGGGGGGGTCGAGCAACGCGAGCATGCAACGCGGGATCGCCGCGGCGGCCTCGAACGGCGCCACCCTCGACGCGAGGTGGGTGGTGATCTGCTCGATCGCGGCGTCGAGAACGGCCCGCCACGCGTCGCCGCCGTCGCCTCCGTTTCCCACGCTTTCGTTGGAGGGCAAATCCCCGCCGTGTGCGCCGCCGACCTCCCGCGAAGGACCCTTTTGCACGGCCTCGTCGGAGGGCCCCACCCCTACGGTGTTAGACATTTGGTTGGGACTTAAAATCTATTACGAAAGAGCGGCTAATACGTGTGCATCCATATCACATGTGGATATATGGATAGGAGAAGGATATAGTTTTAAAAACATATAGATCACAAAGAGACGAGGAAAGTGGATGGAACACACGTGATATTTTCGTTTTCGCCTCGTCCAGCGAAAAAAGATGGCTGATAAAAAGAAGAACCACGCCAAGGAAGATATTAGAAAATTACACGCACACATGCAGAATATGGGCTATTCGAACGAGGATGTTCTTTTTTGGGGGGGGGTATCTATTTTTCTGCTCGTGTAGCTTCTGTTGCTGAAAACTGCCCATTTACTGTAATTTATCGCTTAGCATGCAAAAAAATCAATAAATAATCAATAAGGAACATAATTAGGAAAAAAAAAGAAAAAGCAAAATAAATCACAATTAATCGAAACAATGTTTGTGTGAGTGAAAGGAAGGTAGCGAAAAACGGAAAATACATGACCATCACTCTTCATAGAAAAAGAAACCATTAATTTAACCATCAACGCCTTTTTTTCACTAGTTTGGAACCACGGAGGAGAAACCAAATGCGGAAGGTGCTAACATTACACTCCCTCCGTCGTGCTCTCCCACGTCGCCATTACTCAACCCCAACCAGCTATTGCCTTTGAAACCCTCCGCAGGGGGCCTACCATCCCCAAACGGCCGCAGAACGCCGAGTTTCGATCCCGAATCCTGCTCAACTCTATTACACAGCACGTTTTCCTCCGCCTCGTTGACCTCGCGAGCTCGCTTTCGCGCCATCAGGCGCTGGTGAAGACGACTTTGCGAGACGGACGGGACGTCGGCGCTTCGATTCCGCTTTCGCACGTTTCCCGCCGCCGGCGCGAAGCCGTTGCTATAGCGATGCAAAAAGTTCAACACCGCGTGGCTGGGGATGACGTCGAGCGTAGCGTGCGATCCGCGCGCAAGCGGACGCTGCTCCCCTTGGAGGTTCAACACGAAATTCCGCACCTCCATCGCGGTCTGGGCCTTCATCATACAGCGCTCGTGCAGCAGTTCTTGACAGCGCCGTTGCAAGGACTCGATTTCATCCCGCTGGGTCTGGATGACATGCTCATACTCGTTCTGAGCCTCCTGCGCGCGAAGTCTCCAGTACTCCTCAGCGTTCATATTACATGCACAAAGAGAAATTAAGAGTCCAAGAAGGGGTTGAAATGTGAACCTCTTCTACTTTTTGAATTTTTTTTGAGTGTTTCTCTTCACGCAAATAATGCTATACTATTTATTAGCTTTACTTTTTAGAAGGAAAAAAGGAGACAAGGACATGTGTAACGAAGTCCAAAGGCAAGGTGGAAGAGAAGCTTGCTGTCCCCCTTCAACACCAAAGAGTGAGGAACTTTTCGGTCTTCAAATGCAATTAAGAGTAGTGCTTCAACTCCTGTCGAATCAAATAGTATACTCCCTATTAATGCACATACATACGTTTACCAAAATGTACACTAAAAATATCGAAGAAATATATATGGGTGCATGTCGATTTTCATATAGACACTGCGCACCAATAGACGGAATGACAACCCCTCTAAATTCATTCCTTTAATCAATCCCCTCGAGGGCACGCACTAACCCCTCAAGGATCTCCACTTCATCCTTTAATTGATTCAGTTCTGACACCTCCAACGCATGCTGAACGTACAGCTTGTTGCGACGTTTGCGTTCTAAAAGTTCACGTAGGCTATCATACTCATACTCGCTATGCATGTTGCCATACCACGCCAAGGCAATCCACGTCTCGCAGTAGCTTAGCAGGTAAGTGATCGGCTCGACAAAATTCCAGTCAAAGTGAATATACGTCCAATCGAAGAGCACTACGAATTGCACGAGCAATACCGCAAAAATAGCAAAAAAGAGGCGATCGACAGAGCGATGGGCTATTTGATCAAGCGCCTCCTTGCGTACCTGCAGATCTTGCAATCGGGAACGCTTCGCGCGGAGGAGTGGGAGCAGGAGGTGGTCACGCCGAAAACGTAATTCCTTTGGTCTAGCACACGAAAAATCACCTGTATCGCTTCCTAACCATCTGGTAGAGAAGGATAAAGACGATGCGGAGGTGGGCAGGGCCATCTGCGAGGGGGAGCTAAGGGCAGTGGGTATACGATAAATACTTCGTACAAGAAAATAAAGTGAGGTATGCGGTGAGACGCTGCTAATCACAGTCTTCACTCTAGAGGAACCGCATTCTTGAAGGTAACGCATCGCGCCACCCTGAAAGCAACCTAGTGATCACCAAGCCACACAGGTTCTCGGCTCCCCTGTGGAGTTCCTGTAGAGTAAAAAATGCTGTTGAGAGAAAGGAAGAAAAAACGGCAAGGTGAGAATCTTTTCATCAAGACGGTAAGATAATCGTATTCATCTTCCTCCATCCACTCCTTGAAAGTGTGCTATACTCATATTTTCACACATGCAATTTTTTTCCTTATCAAGTCCGTTCCTATTCTTCAGAAGAGGGAGAGAGGGTCAAACTCTTTTCTTTGGCGTGCTAACTATTCTACTCAACTGCGCAGGTAGCCAATCCAACATTTATTTTTGATTCCTTTCTCGCACCTCTCTGCTTGCCCTCCTCTCGATTATATGAGTCTGCCCATCTTCGAAGGGAAAACAACAGAACCCTTGGGTACGTCGTAACAAAAAAAAAACAATGATGCATCGTGGGATGTAAAAAAGCAGAGCAACATTCAAAGGGGTTTCACTTCTTTCCACTACCTATACTATACCTTCTTCTAGCTAAAGAGCGGCAACACAGGAAAATAACAACAAAAACAACCACAACTACGAAAAGAAACAGCGCAACACTACACCTGATTCATGAGAAGCTGTACTATTGTGATCGGCGTTGACAGGCGGCGCTGAGCGAGAGGTTCTTTGGGAACACAAAGGTGTCTCCCATCACGAAGCTTGACGGCTTCTGAGTGGCCAACCTGGCAAGCACCTCCTCCACATCCGACGGGGTGATGTTCTCGATGGCCTGAATCCGCTCTTCAGACCCTGCTGGAGAGGTCGCGATAAAGTTGCAGTAATCCCGCGCCGTGTTGAGTTCATCGTGCTTGAACCGCACCACCGCCCGCATCTTCGCGGCGGCGAGCGTGTCGGGGTCGACCCGGAGCGGGAAGCACTCCGCCGCCGTGCGGACCATCGCCGCCACCTCCGACGGCGCGGCGCGCAGCGTGTAGCCGAGCAGGGCGGCCGTCGCGTAGGGGCGGAGGAAGACCTGCAGCCCGGCAGCCCCCTCACGGCGCTCCCGCCGCGGGTAGAGCCGCTCCACC